TTTCAAGGACTTGAGTCCTCTTCCGTATTTGACCTCCCACGGTCATTACTTTTGGTCTCACATTCATGAGCACCAACCTCAACTATATGAGGATAATCTTGTGACTCCTTTATTGTTTTGGAGTCTTTATCTTTCCCGTGATCCCAACTGTAGTTGTTTACCACAACTACATTAGCCAGTTTGCTAAGTCAAACGCTCATCTGGATCACATCCTCAACTCTTTGAGGAAAACCATATACTGTTCCCAAGATCCCAAAGTCGTTCCATTATTGGCCCTTTTCTATCCACCACCTCGTCTACAAGTTCACACATGAACTGTAATGGAGAGCTATGTCTTCCCGACTTGCTACTCCTCAAGGATAGGCCCACTCCTCGGACCTTCCGATGCCAACACTAGTGGTGATATACTTGAGCACCAATAAAAGTCGGACTAAGGAACAGCTCCGATACCAAGTTGTAAGCGACTAAATTTTCCATTCTACTTTAGTCACTTAACCACACCTCTGACCACTTGGAGGAGTCTTATTCACAACCTCCATAAGTCCAATCCAGGACTTGGGACTTGCTAGCCCCGAGAATGGCATCCATGCCACTCAACATTTGCACTTGGTCCAAGTGCTCCACGTGTCCGATCCCATGACCGACACTCAAAGGTACCACCGACATAGCAGCCTGTTACGCTAAGGCCATGCCCAATCACCTTTGCCACACTGGTAGTCCAATACCACTTGCATCACCGTCTTGGCTCTCCAAGACTAGGCAAACCATCCGTGAGTGGTGATCTCAGATCCACTCCTTAGCATCCTTAGGATGCCCACCGACAAGGGGAATAGCCTTCCCCAATATCCCTCTGTCAGTCCCCACTAAGTCCCTTTCTGCCCTTGGCCGTGTTTGCCAACACTGCCACTGGATCGAGACCCACAGGCCCGACCACTAAGTCCCACGGTCCTCTGGGACTTCCTCACCACACGATTGTGTCCTTGGTCACTACCCCAGAGGACTGCTCCTCTTCCTTTCCACAGTCTGGGCCTTTGGGACAACATTTCGGAACACCGTGGCCTTATGCGAGCCACCTGGGTACTCTCCTCGCCTTCTGCCCTTGGGTGCTCTAGCCATGGGCTTAGAGCGGGTTCCGTTGAGCCACACAAGGTATCCAAGTAGGTAGTGCCACCCACACTTGGACTAGGAGCATCGGCCAGTCGATCTCCCGGGGGAACTAGAGCCGGCTCTTGAACACTACACCAAGCTACCCCGCTTGTCGGTCTGTGTTCACTCTAGTCTTGGACTTCCCAGTGGGCAGCTCATCACCCAGCACTGGGTCCGGCCTTCCTGGGCCAAACTGGCCTTTCCTGGCCAAACTGGCTCCACTGCAGTCCTCCCCCTACTATACTTTTGGAGCTCACCAAACCCCCCAGGGTCTGGGAGACGAACGCTTTGGGCTTTCACCCTCTCAGGCTCCGGACTCGGACTCGGACTCGGACTCGGACTCGGACTCGGACTCGGACTCGGACTCGGACTCGGACTCGGACTCGGACTCGGACTCGGGCTCGGGCTCGGTCTCGGCCTCGGCCTCGGTCTCGGTCTCGGTCCCGATCTCGGTCTCGGTCTCGGTCTCGGTCTCGGTCCCGGTCTCGGTCTCGACTTCGGACTCCATCTCGGACTCCATCTCGGACTCCATCTCGGACTCCATCTCGGACTCCATCTCGGGTCCATCTCGGACTCCATCTCGGGTCCATCTCGGACTCCATCTTGGACTCCATCTCGGGTCCATCTCGGACTCCATCTCGGACTCCATTTCGGGTCCATCTCGGGTCCACCTCGGACTCCATCTCGGACTCCATCTCGGACTCCATCTCGGGTCCATCTCGGACTCCATCTCGGACTCCATCTCGGGTCCATCTCGGACTCCATTTCGGACTCCAACTCGGGTCCATCTCGGACTCCATTTCGGACTCCAACTCGGGTCCATCTCGGACTCCACTTCGGACTCCAACTCGGGTCCATCTCGGACACTTCCACGTGTCATGTTTTGGTCCTTTTGGGTCCCTTTTTTGGAGCCTCGCTTTTTGCTCGCTTCGTGTTCGTTCCTCGAGCACTTCGTTGGGAGTTCCACTCCCGCTCTTGACTTTTCAAGTCGGAGCTTTTGGTCCAAACGTGTTACGCTCGTTTGGCTCTCGCTTCGGCCACTACCACGTGGCGCCCTTCCGGCTCCACTTTGGGGCCTAGGGATTTTGTGTCTCACAGAGCCCAGCTTGGAAATCGGGGTGTCTCTGCACCCCAAATTGTAGTCTGGAGAAGGATCCTCTACAGCAGACCGGGTTTAAGTCCTTTGGAACGGGACGCCAGAGAGGGTGAGAGCCCATTCATGTTTTCCAAGATTCCTTTTGCTACTATTCTAGTGTCACCTACAAAGGCACTAGAATTCAACTGGTTTTCTACCATTGCAGCTGTATCTTGCAATGAGTCCTAATACCCAAGCAACACCATCCCTTCCGGCCCTTCTAGTCTGGTTAGATAGTGTGCTAAAGTATCAGCCACAAATACGAACAAAAAGGAGCCAATGGACACCCTTGTCTTACTGATCATTGTAACTTAATTGTATTGCCAACTGTCCCATTTATTGTGACTTTGCTTGTTGCATCATAATAGAGAGTGCAATCCATCTTATGAATTTATCCAGAATTCCAATTTTTTTCCATTCTTAATTGTAAGAACTCCCAATCCACTATATCATATGTTTTCTCAAAATCTGCAAACCTCAATACTTAACTTATTCTTGAGTTAGCAACACTGTCAATATGTTATCTACCAACTGTCTCCCTTCTACAAAGCCATTCTGAGTATCATGTATTGTTAGGAGAATTGATCTTAATATTTTAGCCAAAGCCTTAGCTATGATCTTATAAAGTGTATTATGCATTAAAATTGGCCTCCAATTCTAGTCTGACTTTGTCAATTGCGCTTTTCATATGGGCAAAGCTGGTGTCTATACAACAAAGTCTGTAGGCAACAGGCATGCTTAGGCAGAAGCCTGGCCAAGGAGATGCCACTCTCTAGTGACAAGATCACAAGATGGAACATTTTGGGAGTTCATTTTGTCAAGAGAGTAGAGCTCCTGCAAACAGTGCTTGATCCAGGATCCATAGGAATAGAGGAAATCCAAACTCACCTTAGTACACAATTACTGTTGTTAGAAGCACGAAAAAATCATCACTGGTTTCCAACCTGGCATTCTTTCGGCCGGCTGGCACCAAAGATTGACAAGGCAAAGCTATGCACATCAGACGCAGTTACAGATCTTCCGTATCCAGGCACCTGGTTACAGACTCAACCAGGTAACACTTTCAAGGTGCTTTTGTAATCCTCATATACAGCCAGGCGTTTCCTTTTTTGGTTTTTATTTTCTTTCAGAAACACCTTATAAAAGGTTAGCACAAAGGGATTCAGCTACCATGCCATGTTTAGTTTAGACAGATGAGGGATTGTTTTGAAGATACTATGAAAAAAGAATATGTTTAGGATCCAATCTACAATACTTCTGCTACCCAAAACTCTTAACGGTATCAGCTGTGAAAGGCTTTCAAAGTTCTGGTCAAGGTGTCATAACGGTACAAGCTGATTTTCCTTTTCCAACGGTGGCTCCACAAGCTGAAAGTAGCCTTCGTGCCATGATGACGTCGGAGCCAGACAAATCCACTGCCACGATGAGTATGGACACGCGCTTCAATTTCTTGTATGAATCAGTCTCCTGCATTAAATTTCTCTATACCTTGGTGTTTGTGTTGGCTACTTGGCGGAAGTGGTCGTGATCAGCTATGGCTTCTACTGAATCGAAGGTGATAGCCGGGCCTGGCTTTTGGGACTACATTCTCATTTGCGCATCACTCTGATCTGCAAAGCTTCTACAACTGGAGGATGCAAGCAGGCCCTACTCTGACTCCAAGACGCAACCAGCTTGTTCTACTCTCCAGCCAGAGGGCTTCTTGCTTGGGGATGGAGCACGCTCAAAGCCTACTCAAAGCTCTCCAGGCTTCACTGGTCCCGGGTTTCTTCGTGACCAAGTTCAAGCCCATGCTCGAAAAGAATCCAGATTGGCTCTCGGTGGAGAAGCTTGGTGATTTACCATCTCCGAGTTCGTTGGCAAGCATCTCCGATAAATGTATGGATCGAGTCTACTCCAGGAGGATGGTGTCTCTCTGGAGCGACGTTTCCAAAAGCAAGATGGAAAAGATGGCAGGGATCGTGAAGGGGAAGCATTGCTCCAGCTCCCGATACGAGTTCATTCCTGCTCAAGATCGTCCTAACGCTCAAAGACGTGGCAATCTTGTGCAAGGGTGTAGTAGGTGGAACATATGTTGACAAGAACTTCCTGGATTTGCTCAAGAGAAAGATTGGGTGCTTGGAAAACTTTGATGATCCATGAGCTCACAAGGTGGTGACTGGGGTCACTTGGGAAGAGCAGCTCACCAGCTGAAGTCAAGGTGTTTGAAACCACCCGAAAGCTCTCTAAGGCGTGGAAGAAGTTGGATGAGCAGCTGGAAGTACTATGAGATCAAGCTTAGCAAAGAACTGAGGGTCATCTTTGACACCAAGGTGGACAAGGTTCTAGCTAAGCAGCTTGATGCAAGCATAAAACATATCTTTGTGGTCGGGAGATGCCCGTACTTGATGAAGATTGAAGAGGAGAGCAGTGATCGCGCCTCCAGGTGCTGCCATTGCAAAGCGTAGTAGTGGCTCTCGGGTTTGGGAGCGCTGGCGTTGTTTCCAGAATCTTCACGAAATGGTACAGTTGTAGTTCTTGTCAGAGATTTGAAGGTGACTGAGGATTACAAATTCATGGAGTTGAGAGGTGCAAAGATCGATTTTTATATTGATCAAAAAACCATGCCAATTCGACAACGTCAACCGAGAAGCTCTTCCTCTCAGGGTTTACCAAGAAGAGAATTTTGTTCATGGGGTGAACATATTAGCTTTTCTATCAAGATGACAAATTTGCACAGTAACCTTAAAGCTCCTTTTACTGACTTCAACAAATTAAGAGCAGCCATTAACGAGGGAAAAGTTTAGGCGGAGATATATTACACGGCTAGACAACGATTCTAGACAACCTAAAGTGGGTGAATTCGATTCCTCCTAGGCCCGCTCCCCACGGATGCGCCGGGCCAACTGGATATCCTTGGGCATGATAGTCACCCTCTTGGCATGGATAGCGCACAGGTTGGTGTCCTCGAAGAGGCCCACCAGGTAAGCCTCGGCCGCCTCCTGCAACGCCAAAACAGCATGGCTCTGGAACCTCAAGTCGGTCTGGTTCCACAAACACCCAAGCGTCAGAAGAAACACAAGCAAGACAAGAGAACCCACCTTGTAGTCCTGTGCAATCTCACGAACCAGCCTCTGGAAGGGCAGCTTGCGGATAAGCAGCTCGGTGCTCTTCTGGTACTTCCGGATCTCACTGCGGATGCGGACACAGGCATCGCATTAGAACGCTGGAGATCGAGAACGCTGGAGAGACGCATGACTTACCGGAGTGCAACAGTTCCTGGGCGGTAGCGATGGGGCTTTTTGACACCCCCAGTGGTAGGCGCAGACTTCCTGGCAGCCTGAAAAGGCCGAGACGATCGTCAGAACCAGGCCGAATCGACAATCTGGAGGGAGAGACAAACCTTTGTGGCGAGCTGCTTCCTGGGCGCCTTTCCTCCGGTGGACTTGCGAGCGGTCTGCTTGGTACGCGCCATTGTAGATTGACCTACTGGAACTCAAGCCCTAGGACTGGCACTATTTATATTAGCACTCACGTGTTTGCTCCCGACGGTCCCGATCACTTCTTACGAAACGCACGGGCACGATGTGTTTTAGAAAGCACGATCCTCGTGAACCGTGCTGATTGGCTGAGCTCAATGACGTGGCAAAAACTATTTAATTATAGGAGGATTCATTTAGTTTTTAGACATAAATTTTAAGATGTATTTCGATCTTTTTCTTCTTCCTTGTTCTGTTGGCCTTTTTCTCTCCTTTTCTTTTCTTGGGCACCTCACTCTTGTTCTCCTCAGGAGGCTTCTGCAGTGTCATTCGTGACAATTGGAAAGAAGAAATAGAAACTTACATCTTTTCTTTTCTTGGGCACCTCCACGCTGTTGTTCTCTTCACTCTTGTTCTCCTCAGGAGGCTTCTGCAGTGTCATTCGTGACAATTGGAAAGAAGAAATAGAAACTTACATCTTCTTCATTAGCAGTCTCCTTTGTGCTGGCAGCATCGATCTTGTTGATAATGGACTTGTCTATTTTAACAATGTTCACAACCTCGCCCTCGACATCTTCTTCACGGCAGGTTCTGGACGCCGGAAGCAAATTGCCAACAGCTGGGTTATGATATGTGACCCAGCTCTTAACCGTCAAAACCTTTTCGAACCCGTCACCCTCAATCCCCTTTGACCTCAGGCACTGCCCAAGCTTCTCCTGCATCTCTAGAGCTGATAAGCTAGCAAGCTCTTTGGTGGTCATGGAGAAGTCGATCAATAGAGCCTTTGCCGACTTGAAGTCTCCATTGAACTCCCTGACCAGCTTTCGATAGCCCCACTTCGTGAGCTTGTCAGCGTTCGCTTCTTCCAACAGACCCAACTCGACAAGAACTTGCTTATCAATTCCTGGTGCCACATCTTTTGTTCTGAGTTGCCTGGCCTTTATACGTCGACCAAGTGAGTTGTACATCTCAGCTTTTGTTGCAAATCCATCCCACCACTCTTGTGGCATCACACCCTCAAAGCTCAGACGCCATGCATAAGCTCGACTTGGGAAAACTCTCGTCTCCATCCTATTTGCAGCAGCCCTAACCCTAAACCCTAAACCCTTGGCCTCCATTTCTCTTGATAAAAGAACATTCCTAAATATTCCCTTCTCCGTTTGAAGGTTCAGCGGAGGTTTTTGCCGTGCCTGTCCTCGTCCTTCCGCTTGTGTTGCTGGACCCCCTGGATAGCCTGAGCTGCTTGTCTGGAAACACATCAATCAATCAATCAATCACAAGACTCAAAGCCAGCGTAAAGACGTACGCGAAATTCAGAGCAGCTGCATTTGCGGACACCAGAGCCGCGGCCAGAGCGTTCTGGCTACTCAACGATGCACCGCCAATGCTCCGAGAGTCGGGCTCAACCTATTGGCGACACAATACGCAAAATGAAAGGCATGAAACGAGAAAGAAAGTCTCACCTTATCCCACTTGCTTTTCTTGTTGGTCCTGCTTTCAGGCTTTGGAGCAGCCGCAGCAGCCGCCTCGTTCAAGGATGGTATTGATGCGTTAACGTTTACTACAAGCTTTGCACCATCAGAAACCACAAACTTGTGTGCCACACGTACCACAGACCTTTCTGCTGCATCATCTTCGCGGCGGCAGCGAGAGTGTTCGCTCGCACAAACTCCAGCTTCTGGTTCTGCTTCCTCTCCATGTCTCTACGGTCGAATTCCCGTTTCTGCTCGAGTGCTAGAAGAGAAGACTCGGGTCAGGATCGAGGTACCGAGAGCGCACGCATACTTACCGAGAGCGTCATAGAAGTCCTCGGGATCATAGCCATGTGGATCAAATATCTCCTTCTTGAAGCAGCTCCCGAGCTGATCCACGCCCTGGTGGATTACAGCACGGTGCAAGAAGTCGGGATTCCGGTAGCCTTTCGAGTTTCGGAGCTCGTCGTTGAAACTCCTGCCAGCATCTTTGAGCGACAAGAACCAGGTGAACTTGTCCTGCAAAACTACGATGAAACACGTAAAGGAGAAGGAAAAAAGAGGGAGACACCCACCTGTAGCTCGTCAGAACACTTGCATGTTGGTGGAGATGGAAGAAAATCTGCGACTAAGCTCTCGTCGAGACACACGAGCTCTTCTTGTTGCGGCGTGACTTGTTGTCGGTGCTCTGGAGGAAAGGAATTTGGATCTGGCGGAGCCACAGCGGTGGCGGTGGCGCCGCCAGCTTCTTCTTCTCCTTCTTCTTTCGAAACTCCTAGCTCCGCGGCCTAGCGCAAAAAACAGAGCAACTCACTGCCTTGGAACCCATGCCACCACTCACCTCCACCTCTGTCGCCTCGTCGTGCGCGTAATCCACAATGGCGGCAGCCTCCTTGCCCTCCTCCTCCTCTCCATCGTCGTCCTCGTCTTCGTCGTTGTAGAGCGAGAGCAGGGCAATTCCCTCCGCCTTGCGCTTCATTTGCTGGAAACCCTAGCCTCACTAGGGAACTTGGCTATGGCGATTCTGCTGGACGAGGAGGAGGAGGAGGAGCTGTGGTGGATTCCCGTCCCCACGGCGCAGCAGGGCCGCTGCCGCAAGGTATGCATTGGAGGCGCGCTGTGCTCCGTGCTCAATGCAGCGATGGATTTTCACCACCATCGTAGGTATTGTTGGAGCTCCATCGCTGTCTCTCATGAAGCTTCTTGTTTTGGCTAGAGCGTCGGGATGGTCTCTTCCAGCTCGCCAGCGCTCTTGGAGCGGACAGCAAGAGCCTGGTACCATTGGTCACACTCCACAATCTGGGGAGCTCCACGAGCACACACGGAGCACACACCGAGGAGAAATCCAGGCCGGCCAAGCCGAATGGATTTGTTTTCAGCAAGGGCCTGGGCTTCGCGGGACAGGTATTTGGCCTCTACTCGAGCTCTCGCAGCTGCCTTGTGGGTGTGGAAGAGAAGCGGTACCTCAAAGACCTTCCATTCTCTTGCTCTTTCGTCAAGAGGTAGGCTCGCATGCATCTAATCTCCTCTTTACGGGATTATGGTGCTATGGTGACAGGTTTCTGTCCAAGATACTTCGCGTCGAGGCTTCCAAAGGCCCAGCGTTTCACTTCTATATCAATCACGATGATGCAAGTATGCTTTGCATGTCCTAGGTGAAATAGAGAGATCGACACAAGCCTCGTCGCTAAACTCGGTCGTGTGTTTTATCTTGTGTCATGCCAGAGGCGTATCTCAACCGCTTAAAGGTGCCCGACATGGAGATTGGTTCCGTTCCCTTGCATCTCGCATATAAGTTCTTTAAGGTAAAAAGTTCCTCAACACTGGTTTCTTTCTTTGTATTAATACGTTGCTTGTTTTGCTCACAGGAAAGGCCTTCGCTGTTTAGTTTCATCCCTTCGAAAAAACAGGTAGCTGCGCTGCGCAGCTTATCAAGTGACAACTCACATCCATGCCTGCAGGTAGATCTTGCCAAAACCATTATAAAGAAGGAGCAAGGTGGAAAGGCCGCTCAACAATTTCAAGGTGTTCCGGTGTTCACATCTCACTGTTTGAGCATTCTTGTCGTTGGGCCTAGTGGTGCGCGGTGGTACGTTAACGTTTTCTTCCTTGAGTAAGATATAATGCCGTGGTACAGGTTCAGGCCACATTTTTTTAAAAAGGAAGAGCTGGACGGGGTGATTAGATCGTCTATGGAACATCACTATCAGTCACTGATTCGAAATCGACGGGCTCGAAGACACAATCAAGTGAGCGACTTCCCGTCGGATATGGCTGAAGATGACCTCGAGATGCTGGAGTCACAAGACGTATATTTGCCTAGCGAATTTTCGTACTGATAAAATATTCTATGTTCACAGATTCAGGATTTTGTAGAGGACATGGACGAATGGAGCTCTGTGCTCGAGTCGATCATGGCCAAGGCTGCACAAATGTATTTTCAAGACACCTTGGATAGAGCCATTTTTGGGAACAAGTGGTGCAGAATGCTAGCCGGAATCCAACCGAGCTTTCCCATCTTAGTGGACTCATTCGAGCGAAGGTACTCTTGAAAGCTGTTCTCACAAGGGTCATATCGTGCTGCTTACAGGGTGACATCTGAGACGGAGAATGCCGTTGTCAGCCACCACGAACAGAAGAAACCTCACAAAGGTAAAGAAGTTCTTCTTGGATTTTGGTTCTGACTGCTGTGTTTTGTTTTTTGGCAACAGCCAGTGGATGGTTTGACAGATTGGGACTCAACTTGCCACCTCAAACGTGCGTTGATCCGCTAATTTCTATATATGCGTTCTCACTGACGCTGTTATCGTTCTCCAGGCCCGAAGACGAGGAGGAGCTAAGCACGCAAACTCCACATCTAACTGTAGTCGCCGGCATTGCTGGAAGTTCCACAGACCAGGTGGTGAAAGCCGCGTCTTCTGCGATTCAAGAGGCCAGAGACAAGATTGAGAGGAACGAAATGACTCTGGAAAATCTTTTCATTGCGGACTTGGGTGGTCCTCATATATGGTCCAATCCCAGCGCGGGGCTGTCCGGACTTGGAGGAGGATCATCTGACGAGCGTAGCGAAGCATAGATAACTGTCAGCTGTGCTGGTGGTGTTTGAGCACATCGCGGACCTCGAACGCAGTCCGGCTTTGGACAACAATGTCATACATGTGTGTCGTCTTCAGCTTGGTGAAGTCCGCCGGCAGCGAGATGAAGTATGGCCCGTTGACGCTGCGAAAGTACTGCCGGCTCTCCTCCGCCTCGGAATCACACCTCTCCCATCCCAGCGCGAAAAGCTTGTCCTCGAGCAGATCGAAAGACGTGATGACTTCGTTCGTGGCCCGGTACACGAGCTGCTTCTTTGGCGGCTCCCAAGCCTTGAAGTTGTCCAGCGGTTGCTTCATCGGATTCCGCACAAGCGTGGCCACGCCGTCTCGAAACAGCCACACACCCGACATACCACCACACTCCCTGGAGAGGAAACGTTAGAGCGCTCAAGCTTGCGAAGAAATGGGAAGGAAAGAAGCTGCGAACAGGAGTGAAGTTCTGCGAACCTGAATCGACCCGCCCCAAGCCGAGACTGCGACTGACAAGGAGATCACAAGCGCGAAAAGCAAAGCATTGCTCGGTGACAAAGTCAAGAGAAAAATGATTGCTCGAGCCACTGTAGGCGCCGACTAGTGAGGGAGCGAACGAGAGGCCGATCCATTTGGAGCCCACGACATCCCAGAAAGGTGACGCATCTCATAATTCCCCCACTCAGCTCGCGGTGCCCCGCTGGTCGGATCCACCAACAGATAACTGCTTTGCTCCAAGTACACACGTCCGTACGATGGCCCACTATGTTGTCACCCGTGCCGCCGAGGCCGAGAGGACCGCAAGCCCGCGGTTGAGATCGACGAGTCCCTCCTCGCACTCGGACACGAGCTTCTCGAGGGAGCCGTCGGCGCGAGCAGTGGTAGCAGCACCATCTTCCACGGAGGTGGCAGTGGGAGAAGTTGAAGTTTCAGAGACGGCGGCGATGGCCGCATGCGAGTCCCGCAAGCTACGAAGGTTGCGAAGCAGCTGCAACCACCGGAGGATTGGAGGGTTCAGTACAGTTGATTGGTTTTCACGTCTCTCACCTTGAGGAGGAGTTTATACGACTCCAACAGCCGGTTCGCAGCCGGTCCCAATCCATGCAGCTGGGGCAGCTCCATCGTGTGTGTCCAGGGTCGTATTTCCTGCGGGGTATACGTGATCACAACAAACATACATCGTACGAGAGCGAAAGAAAGAGAGGGAGAGCGCGGGCACCTTTGAATATATATGATTGAATACTTTGGCGGTCTCGAGGAAAGATTCCAGCTGCGCCTTTAATTCGTTCCCAGCCTCGGAATGGTCTTCATTCGGGTTGTAGTTTTGCTGAACCAATGGCAGAACTTAGCGGTTTTGGATCCGAGTCAAAGCAGCACATGAAGCTCAAGCATTAAAAAACGAGAGGAGAAACCCACCTTCGAGGCCAGATCATCAACAACCTGCTGGAGATCGGCCAGGTGCTTGACATAGTCGGCGAGTTTGTTTTCTAGCTCGGACACATCCGGCCTGCAAACAAAGTCAAGGTCGAGCGTTAACCAGACAGACACAAGACGCGTCACTTACACTGGGAAGCTCGTCTGGATCTGTACGTCGGGCGGGAAGAGCTTGCATTCCTCGGAGAAAACTTGGGCCTGCTTCTCCGAGATAGCATCAAGGAACTGGATGTCTTTGGCAACCTGGTCATCCACACTATAGGCACGCACGAAACGAGGATGAGGGTGGTGGCGTTCATACGGGTTTGAGAGGAAAGAGCACGAACCTCCATTCCGGATTGTCAGCGACGCAGCTCGCCTCAACCAGGTTGACAATCAAGCGCAGCATCTCGGCACGACTTTCGTAGCTCCCTTTACCCTGTGGTGGAAGGAGCATTGGTTTGCCGGATCCACAAAATCCACACACTTTAAGCCAGAGTTACCTGGACAGCGTCTAGATCCACAGTCGGTGTCAAGCCCAGAAACCGGGCGATCTCGGCTAAATCTGCGAAAGAGATGAAAAGGTCGTCGCCTTTGTCACAATCACAATCTGGATTCGAGAATGGGCTCACGCTGTGTTCGCGCAGATTCTTCGTCCCGCTCGGTGCCATCGCCCTGTGGTCCTTGCTGCGTGAAAGGCGACTTATCCCCTAGGAGCCTAATCAAACACCAAATGCCCAGAGAGCGTGGCGTGGAAAGGGCGAGCAAAGCTCAAGAACTTACTTGAAGAAGAGCCACTCGAGCAGCGCATAGCGCTCCAGGCCGGCGTAGAGCAGCGATTGCGCCGGCACCGAAGCTCGCGGGTAGTCGAGCGCCATGAGCTTGCTCTGGACCTCCTCCATCGCAAATGTAGATGCTAGAGCTAGGGCAAGGCGACCATGGAAGAAGTCTCAATCTTCTGTTGCTTTTACCTATAATGTATGTATGGTTGCTCCCTTCTACAACCCAGGAAGGAGAACAAGAACAAGAATCCAAAATCCAAGAATGTGGGATGCGATCCAGCGACGGATCGCGCCGGCCCACCGGTGCTCACGAATCTCCCTCTCCCTCTCTGTCTCCCTCTCTCTCTCTCTCTCTCTCTCTCTCTCTCAGGCCACCATGGAGAGCGCGAGCGCCAGTTGCGGGTGGCGATGGCGGTAGCGGAAGAGATCATAGGGAGCCCAGAGGCTGTCGAGCGGGCATGGCGTGCCCGAATCCAGGCGCGCCCATGGCTTGCCCTTGCCGCTCCAATGCAGCAAGCTCACTGGCCCCGGGTGGAGATCCCGGCAGCTGCCCACCACGCAGTCCCCGCCCAGGCCGTGCTGGTTCCACCGGTGCTCGATCGCCTCCACCTCGCCCGCGAACACCAGCAAGAAAGGGGGCAGCGATCCCAGCTCGTAGATCTTGCTCTCCTTGCGCACGTCCATCCAGGCCTCGAGCATGGCGGTATAGCCGCCGCGCCGCCACGCGCGCAAGTCCATCACCATGACGCCGGTGTTGAAGTAGCAGGGCGTGGAGGACCTGGCCGCGAAGGTGGACGCCAGCGTCTCGTTGCTCCAGAAGGCGGGCGTGAAGTACCTGGTGAAATTGGCAGCGCAGTACTCCGGGGCGCCCAGGACGTGGCCGTCCCGGAGCTCCGTCCGCCATAGCTTGGCAATGTCGTCCACCACCACCACATCGGAGTCGAGGTAGATGACGCGGTGGATGCACTCGTCCAGCATCGCCGCCAGGTAGTTCCGCGCGTAGTTGAGGGGCTGCTCGAGGTCGGAGCGCACGCTGGAGGAGATCCGGCCGCGGACCAGCGCCTCCTGGAACTCGTACGCCTTGAACCTGAGGTACGGGAACGTCTGCTTCACCACGGATTGGAGCGCGTCCATGGGCAGCTCCTCGGGATGGTGATCATGCCCGGGCGACGCGATGAGGAAGTGGAAGACGATGCTCTCGGGGCAGACCGCGTGCTGGACGATGGAGAGCACCGCGGCCATGGAGCCGCGGAGATAGGCGCGATCCAGCGTCATTGCTACGTGAATCGCGCCCGGATCATGGCACCACCCGGGCCGCTGCGCTGGATCTAGCCTCTGCCGCGGGCACTCCTTGCCGTTTCGAAACGCTGGAGCCTCGTGGAAGAGCTGCTGCTGCCCGAACTGGGAAGATCGGATGGCCTCGGCCGCGGGAGCCCACGAGTGCATCGCCGGCAACAAGATGGTGAGGAGCACCAGCAGCGCCCACACCATAGCTGAGCTCCTCTCGATCTTCCTGATCTTATAACTTCCACCACTTTGCGAGAGCTGCGATTGGAATCCTTGGTCCTGGCGATAGAGCTAGCAACCTAAAGGGATGGATCATCCTGGGGCCTAAGTATACGCGGCCCCTAAATTAAGAGCGGCGTATATTTGTAGCTGCATTTTGGCTTTCGAATCCAATGGCTTCCTTGGATAACAAAAATGGGAAAATTTATAGCTCCAGGGGGGAAATGGAATATCCACCAGCATAATCTCCCTCTCTGTTTGGTGCCAGATTTCAGATTTTCGGGTTCTTCCTTTTTCCCATGTCTCACATCAAACATGCGGCGCGGCAGCTGTAGCATTTTCCCCTCTGTCCTTTCGGAACCGTACATTGCGTACGTACGCATTAGGGCGAAATAGCTCTGCGCCATCCGTCGCACTCAGCACTGTCTGCGTCGCTATTGAGCTGCATCCCGGTTGGCTCCTTTGACCGGCGCTGCGTACGCTCTGGTCAACCCAAAGACCGCCGCAGCCATTGTCCGTGGCATGAAAGGTGGCCATGCAAAAACAAAGCAATGTAAATTTTTTGCCCGGCCAGCCCACGCTGTTTTGTTTGCCCGGCTAGCTGGCTGGCCGAGTTCTTCACTTTCAACCAAAGTAAGTCTTGCTTTGATTTGCGTTGAGCGTCTACAGTACGCCAATTTCTTGTTGCTCGTCTCCTCTCCACTGAGCATAAATAATTGCGGAGAAACTTTCGGTGATGTTTACGTTGAGCTCGCAAATGTCAATCCATTTAGTCGGACTTCTGCGGCATACGCATAGAGGAATCCCAGCTTCTTCCTCTCTTTCTCTTTTCTCTTTTCTCTTTTAATAAAGAAAGGGAAAGCAGAGTTGAGGCTGTACCTGAGCGAGCGAGTCCCATGCCCAGCCCCACTGGACATAAATTTGCATTTTCAACTTCATAAAGCTAAGCAAATACGAAGGCAGAGATTATCGTGCGGTATAAGATCCCATTGTGACCAGTCTTTTGAACTCTACCATCACTTAAGATCCCATTTCGATCGATCTTTTGAGCTACGGATAACACAAAGCGGTGCTTCTTTATTTTTAGATTTCCAGTCTATTGTTTGGTGAGGGGGTGCAATTCATTCCTTGACGACTCGGCAACAAACGGGGGAGGAGGAGCCCTCCCCCCGGGAATTGGGGAGGTGAGCGGAGTTCTTCTCTCTATTTTTTTGCGTTCCTTTCGTACGCCGCCAGGGCAGTGACCAATCGCGGAGCAAGAGCAAATGTCCGTCCCATGCGTACACCTGATCCTTTCAACAACCGTCAAATGCAGAAGATTTTCTATTCCTCCTCTCTCTCGATCAGGAATGAAAAGGCTGTCGCACCGCCAGCCAGCACCCACCTCGGATCACCTTTGGGAAATATCAAAAACCCCACCCATCCAATCCAATCCAATTCAATTCAATCGTGAGCTCAGTTAGAAGTAGTATAATAGTTCACGTGGAGAAGAGAGCGTAACCACATCTATCCGATCTTTCCACCGCCTTTGACTAAATGCGGCGGCCGACGCAGCTTTGCCTGGATCAAGCACCATGAATTACGGAGGGGCATTCAAACGAGACTTCGCGGTCGTAAACGAAGTCGTCGGTCCACTGTTGCCTCCCGTTTAAACACCATCCTGTTTCAGTCTCTCTCCACCTAGCTGGCAATGATGTGGCATGATTACATGGCATTTCTCTCTTTCCACTCCCGTCTGCATCTATCCGCCCGACGACTGTGGTCTTTCTCCGCTTTTGACCGGCACTTCTTTGACGTCTGGAGTTTGGAAACATTTTTTTCCATTGTGCGTCTTTCATGGAGAAAGAAAAGAACTTGAACAGTGAGACAATGGCATGTCTATCTCCACCACATTTGATTCCTCTCCATGATGATAAAGCTGAGCAAAGATCATCGCCCATCCACCTGCGAAGTTCCAATGGATCCCCAAGAGCATGCTTGAAAGCTTGCAAGGCATCCGTTGGAAAAATAAGACTAAGGATGATCCAAGAGGAGAACACACTGTAGAAATAGTTACAAGCTCCACTGTGCAAAGAAGCATGCCCATATTCCATAAAGCCAGAGCTAATAGTACCACTAAACTCCACAAATTCATAGAAACTTCCATATGATCATTGTAGCTGCCCCTTGAGAGCAAAAAAAAAGAGCACTTTCAATCTAGCTGCTGCTGCTGCTGCTGCTTGGGTCGACCAGCATTTCCATTCCAGAGAAGAACCTAAAACCCCCTAGAGAAGAGGGTATCCCAAAGTCTGCCAATCTAGAGGAGCAAAGCAAAAGGAGAGATACGTACACACTGGTTGGCATTGGACGCAAAGTAAAAGAACCCCCTTTTCTCTCATCTCTGTTCTGTGAAAGAGACTTTGGTCCAAGTTAAAGTGTTTGGAAGTAATGTTGTGTGGCAGCACCAGAGAGAGAGAGTCGGACGGGAGTGGAAAGAGAGAAATGCCATGTAATCATGCCACATCATTGCCAGCTAGGTGGAGAGAGACTGAAACAGGATGGTGTTTAACGGGAGGCTCCACTGTTGCAGTGCTCTGTTTTAGGGCGTTGAAACTTCTACTAGGGCTGTACTTTGTACTAGCGATCGGCACAACGTGTGTGTACTGGAGTACAGTTGGCGTGTTGCGCCCGGCTCTAGCAGAATAATTCAGCTATCGATAAATCCTATCCCATTCCCATGGTTTGGAAGTTCAAAGGCTAAGTTGAAAGCTTGTCTTAGGTATGGCGCGATGGATCAGCGCCGCCCTGCTGCTCTGGGCGGGGATCATCCTCCTCCACCTCGGCGCGGCGCAATCCCACGGCGGATCCCATGACGATGATGCGGATGCGGATGCTGCTGCAGCTGATCACGATTTGCGAGACAAGGGTCTCATTCTCACCAAGGTATGGTGCTTGATCATCGCGTTCGTGGCGACCTTCTTGTCTGGAATCTCGCCCTACTTCTTCCGCTGGCATTCGTCTTTTCTGGTGCTGGGCACGCAATTCGCCGGCGGTGTCTTCCTGGGCACCGCGCTCATGCATTTCCTCTCCGATGCCAATGAGACATTCGAGGAGAGGACCAGCAAAAGCTATCCTTTTGCTTACATGCTCGCCACCGCCGGCTACTTGCTCACCATGCTCGGCGATTGCATCATCTCCAGCGTCTACTCCAGGACCGATGCTTCTCGCCACCACGCTGATCCAGCCAAGCTACGCGATGCCGAGGCCGCCACAGCCACCGCTGGTAAGTCATCGCTACGTGCTTCTCTCGTTTCTTCCTCATTTCCGCTGTGATCGTCGGGGAAAGGCGATGATCTCACCAAGGAGGGTTCTACTGTTGTAAGTGAAGTCGTGTTTCTTCTAGGCCGACACTGACAAAATGCTGCAAATTTCCAGGGAGACAACACTCTCAACATGAAGAACATCGTCACCGCACCCGCCATCGTCAAGGAGGCGTCCTTCGGCGATAGCTTGCTACTCATCATCGCTCTTTGCTTCCACTCGGTGTTTGAGGGAATCGCGATCGGCATTGCAGGCAAGCTGGTTGACGATCCATCTCATGCGTCCTCGTGATCGATTGTGCTTCGCAGCGACCGAGCGAGACGCATGGAGGAATCTGTGGACGATATGCCTTCACAAGCTATTTGCCGCCATCGCCATGGGAATCGCGCTGCTCAAGATCATGCCCAACAGGCCCTTGCTCTCCACCTCGCTCTACTCCTTCGCATTCGCCATCTCCACGCCGATTGGCGTCGCCATTGGGATCATCATCGACTCCACGGCTCAGGGAGCGGCCGCGGATTGGATCTACGCCATCTCCATGGGAATCGCGTGTGGAGTTTTTGTCTACGTAGCCATCAACCATCTCCTGGCCAAAGGATTTGTTCCCGATCGCGCATCATTCTGGGACACATCATTCTACAGATTTTTGGCGGTCGTGCTTGGCGCCGCCGTCATAGCGGTGGTCATGATCTGGGACTAGAACACTACACACTTTTTCACTTTCAAAAGGCTGTCACACGTTTTTTTATATACGTTTAAGTGTAGAGAGATCACTGTACGGTGTCGTCGTCCGTCTCAAGAGCTGCTGCCAGAGAGCCAAACGTTGGGTGCGACGTAAGTGTAGCCTTGGAACATGTCGATATCGGCTGCTCGAGGGGTGGACGCTGGAGAATCCTGCGCCGGAAGCTTGGTCCACTTCTCGTCAAAGTTTGCAATGCAGGCCCGGCCTTGGACGACCGGCACAAACTTTGGCTGGATCAATCCAGCGTCCAGTTTGCTCCAGTTGATACACTTGAACCACTTGTGCCGCTTGATATCGCAGCTCCCGCTCCCGCCACTCCCGAGTCGCTTGCTGGGGTCCTTGTGCAAGAGCTGCAAAGAAAAAAATACGATACAGTCATGCTCTGCTCGCATCCATAGACTTCCATGCTACGTACCCCTTTCAGCAGAGAATGGACTTCACTTGACAGGTATCCCGGGAGTTTGAGCTTCCCTTTGATTATCTCTTGCTGGAGCTTGTTTTTGTTGCGATTGGTGAATGGGGGCTGAGCGCAAACACGAACACGACGTAAACAATTGAAAAAGCAAACGGATGGTTTCTCTTACCATGCCGTGTAGCATCTCATACACCAGGATTCCAAGGCTCCACCAGTCAGCTGCCTTCCCATGTCCCTTTGAGAGTAAGATCTCGGGTGCCATGTACTCAACCGTGCCGCAATAAGAATTCGTTCGATCCGATTCTTCAATCTCTTTAGCTAGCCCGAAATCAGTGAGTTTGACCTGTGCCATCAATCCAGAGTGTTACATTTCGAGTAGTGCCTCGACTCGAGTAGCTTACATGGCCGTCAGCGTCGAGAAGAATATTTTCAGGCTTTAAATCCCTATGTACAATGCCTTTCGAGTGTAGATGTGCCACTGCGCTCACAATCTCTGCTGCATAGACGCGGCAGAGATCCTCGCTGCCAGGCAAGGAAAGTAAAAAGCTAAATGCATGAAGGAAGCGAAAGACAAAGGTACCTGAAAGTCCCCTGGCGATAGAGCTGGAAGAAAAGATGGCCGCCATTTATGAAATCCAGAATGAGATACAGCTTCGTTTTGGTCTGGAAGAACACTGCTCGCTCACAGCAAACCACAAAGCAAAGCAAAACTCGAGTACCTGGAAGGAGCATCGCAGCTGAACGATGAAAGGGTGCACGATCTTGGTCATGATGTCTCGCTCGGCCTTCATGTAGTCGACATAGTTCTTCTCCAGCACCTTGTCCTTGCGCATAACCTTCATGGCATAGATGTCGCTACTTCCCTTCAAGCGGACCTGGAAAACTTTCCCAAAGGCGCCCTGACCCA